GAGTCCAGCCCAGCCATTACCGGCTGAGTGACCCTGGCCCCTCCACGCCTGCTCTCTATGAAGGGGGCGTTGTCACAGCCCGTGGCTCCCGGGCTCCTGTGAGCACCAGAGGAGACAGTGGGTGAGGGCAGCAGTCACTTGGTGTGGTGGTTGGTGGTGGCCCCCAGCCGCACGGCCCACGCTCACAGGGCCCAGGGTTCAGCCTTGGAAGCAAAGGCCTTGCATGTCCTTCATCCTCTAGGCCTGAGGGAGCACCATGGGCCTGCAGCCACCCCCAGCCCAGTGCTCAGGGTCCGCAGGGCCTGTGGGTGAGAGGGCCAGGCCAGGCGGGGACCGTGGCTCACTGGATGTTCTATCCAAGGGCCATCTCTCTCCAGCCTGCAGGAACGTGGGCCTGCCGTAGCTGAACAGCTCATTTTTTTTTCTTTAAGAGAAATGGGCACTTTATATCTATCTGAAATACCCCAGTTCTTAGTGTTGGCAATGAACTCAGTTTTAAATGTGTGTGCAGTCAGCTGCTGACCAGGGTCACCAGGCTGAAGGGACATCGGGCCTGCCGAGGGCTCACCCAGTCCCGCTCTGCACTAGGCTCGGTGCTGGGCCGCACAGATGCTGGATCTGGGTGGGCCTGGGGTTCAAATCCCAGCTCTGTCAATTCTTAGGGCAGGGGGGTGTTGTGACCAAGTGACTCTCTGTCTCAGTTTCCTCTTTTGCAAGATGGGATTGAGGACTTCGGCCTCTTGGGGCTGGGAGGCTGTGGGTGGTCAGGGATGACCCGGGACCCTCGGGAGCAGGCCTTTGGGCTGCGGTGCAGTCTGCTTCCTTTGGGGCAGAGGGTGCTGGGGCCAGTGGCCTGCAGTGTGCACCTCCTGTCTGCTCGGAGTGAGCCCTGACAGGCTGGGCTCACAATGGTGACCCAAGAGCCACCAGCCAAATGAAATCAGGCCCAAGGACACTCAGCAAGGCAGACCTGGCCGCACACCGGGCAGCCTAGGGCTGGTGGCCAGCCATGCAGTGTCCTCTGAGTGGGAAATGTGGGCAAGAGTTTGTCACTTCTGTTTGGAAGGACAGCTTTAGTTCAGAAGTTTGGGGTCAGGTCTGGCTGCCGTTGTGTGTGTGGACAGTTTTATCTGAATGGCACGTGTCCTCGGTCCATGTGTTGTTCAGGCTGCTCTTGTGCCACCGAGCAGAGCGGGGCAGTCGCAGCAGTCCGCGGGGCCCACAGCCTGGAATATCGACATTCTGGTTCTTTACAGAGAAGCTACTGACCCTGGTCTGTACCAGTGCAGGGCTGGGATGCGCACGTGGGCTTCGCTGCCGGTAGATCCAGGGAAGGGACAGGACTTGCGAAGGGCCGTGAAGGGCTTCTGCAAGCAGGTGTGGGCGCGGCACAGTCCCAGGGCCCAGCTGCCTAGTCCCCTTGCTCCTGGGACCTCTGAGACACGGAGAGACCTTGTCTTGCTGTCCAGGCCCCTGACTTGGGTCGGCTTGGCTTCAGGGCAGATGGTGTCCTAACAGGAGCTTCAGAAGAGGGGCTCTCGCCCAGCTGGGGCGTGAGGCTTCACCTTGTGACGTGCTGTGACAGCCATTAGGGGTCTTTGTCAGAAAGAAGCTGCTTGGTGGTGCAGACTGCCAGGGGAGAGGGAGGAGGGGCTCCGACATCTGCCAGAAGCAGCAGGTTACAGACATGGGGAAGGTCTCAGGGCAGCTGTTCCTCAGCGACCTTGGGCCACCAGGGACTATGGGTCCCGAGCTGCCAGATGACTTTCCAGGAGAAATCTGCAGTCTGGTTTTCATGGAAAATCTGATTTTTTACAGTTGGCAACTGGTTTGAGTAGATCACCAAGCAGACTAAGCATGCGTGACCCTGGCTTGCAGCTGCAGATTGGGAGCTGGGGTTTCCAGGGCAGAGGGGGAAGTGACATGGGAATGGCAGAGGGTCCAGCGAGCCTCTTGCAGAAGACTGCAGGCGGGCTTCAGGCCCCTAACAGAGGACAGGAGGGGCTCTGGGCCTGGTGCAGGCTGGGGAGGAGGTCAGGCTTCCTGTCTTGATCTCCATCCCTGAGCAGTGGAGCATTCCTGCCTGCAGGCCAGGAGGTGGGGGTGGGGAGTCAGATCCTGGGATACCTCTGCTTACCTGGCTGACCTCAGGGGGCCTAGTGACCTCTGGAGGACTCTGAGGGTTCCTCTGAGGTTCTCAGGGGTGCAAAGTGCAGGCAAGACTGTTTGGGGCTGAGTGTGCTGCTCTGTCCTCAAGGAGCCTGTGGGTTGATGGGCAGAGGCTTGGCCTGGAGCTGGGCCCAGCTGCCTAGTCCCCTTGCTCCTGGGACCTCTGAGACATGGAGAGACCTTGTCTTGCAGGTTGCCATGGCATCCAAGAGCAAGTGGGCGTGGTTTCCCGTGGCATCTGGTGTGCCAGTGACTGGGGTCTTGCTCCCCACCCCGGGAAGCTGTGTGCACCTCCGCAGCTTCAGAGGGGTCTGCCTGACTTTCAGCCTCACCGTCCTGCCCCACCTGCAGACTCGGGAGGCTGCCCCAGGTCCCCGGCTGGCATCGTTAGGGATGGCTATGGTTGTGGCAGGATTCGAGGTGTCAGTGACGGCAACCTGGTCAACAGGGCCCAACCCCGGGTTATTTCAGCCTCAGGCAGCACGGGTGCCCCATTGCCCCTGTGTTGGCTTCGCGCACAGCCGGGGCCCAGGGCGGGGGGCAGGAAGAGGCCTGGGGCAGGTTCGCGGCCCTTCGCAGGACCCGGGGAGGAGAGTGACTTCCACCGCCGCAAAAACTCCCAGGGGCGGTTCTCATTGGCTGCTTGGGTCACGTGCGTGGGCCTGGCCCAATCGTTGTGGGCGGGGGGCGGGCCTTGGCTGGGGTGGGTTAGAAGCAGAACCTGGTCACACTCACCTTACGGGACACCTTTGATAGCCTTCTCTCTCCCCTGCTGCCTGTTCTCATTCTTCTCTTTGTAAAACATACCTAAGTGTACACACACACACACACACACACACACACACATACACCATCTTGCTTGGTAGCTTCCACCGCTGAGTTATATCCCAGCCCTTGTGTAGTCCTTGCGAAGTCTCCCTGGGGCTCATGGGTCAAGTTCTCTGCGTGGCCCTCAGGAGCCCGTGTGATCTGCCTGCACGGCCCACTCTAGCCAGAGGGGCCGCCTCCCCTGCCCCCTCCATGCCCCCCTTGCTGCGCTGTTCCCCAGCCTGGAGTGGACCACCCACCGCTCCTGCTCCCTTCCTCTAATTCCCGGTGCATTTCTGCTGCTGTCATCCTAGATGACAGCCTCGGGGACCCCCAGCCCCTCCAGGGAGAACTGGCCCCTTTCCTGGTCCCCAGGCCTTTGTGCCTTGTCATGTACTCGTGAGATGGGGGAGGGGATGAGAGGAGACTTGGGTCATCCGGAGTCTGGGTTTGCCTGCTGTCCTGCTGTCTGTGTGGGGCACAGTGAGGGCACAGCCATCGGTCACTGTGGGCTGGCTGCGTCTTTGCCCCGGCATCTCTGGCTGCAGCTGCAGGCTGGAGGGTGCAGAGGTGACCAGGAGCTGGAATGGCCCGGAGCTTTGGGGAAGGGAGAGGGTGGCGAAGGGGTCTGCTGCCTCTGTCCCCCTTGACCTTTCATGCCTGCCCATCTGCTGGGCCCCAGGGAGCAGAGCCTGGTCCCAAGTGGCAAGCCTCAGTCATCGGGGTCAGCCTCATTCTTCATGAGAAACACAGGAGCCTCGGACACCCCAAGCCCAGGCCTCACCCAGATCAGCGATCCCAGGCGCGGGTGTGGAGCCCAGGCCCCAGGACTTCATAAAACTCCGGGGGAGTCCAGTGTCTGGCCTAGTCTGACCCCAGTTGGGGGTGGTCCTGCCAGATCCTGGCTTTCCCTGGGTCCCTCCAGCCGCTTGGGGCAAGTTGCTCAATGGGACCCTCCCTTCCCAGCAAGTGCCCCCAGGAACCAGGCCATGAGCTCGTGAAAGTCGGCACAAGGTCCAGGTGGCGTGGACGGGCACGGGGCTGGCGAGCAGCCCGTCTCCACTGGTCACGCTGCGTGGGCTCTGGGCAGGCCCCGTGGAGCTGTCTCCCTTATGGGCCCACGGTCCCGTGGTCACCACGGCAGCGCTGGCCCACGCCGCCAGCTTGCTCTCGAGGGTCTTCCCTACAGGGTCTCCTGAGCCTGATCTCAGGACCACAGCAGCCTCTGCTGTGGAGATGGCGCCCCCCTGGCGGACTGGGTCCCCTTCAGGGGGTGGCTTTGGCTGTCACAGGCAGTGCTGCCAGAGGGCAGGGACACCTGGCACGAGAGGCTCCCCTGGGGGGGTGACTGGAGTTCCCAGGTCTCCAGGGATGGCTGCCAGGCGCGACAGAGCCTCTGCGTTTTGTCATTGCAGGCATCACCCGCGCCAGGGCCCCCTGTGTCCGGGCCCGTGCTCTACAGGACTGAGGACTATGTTCCCGTGGACGCCAATCCCGCTGAGCCTGTCACAGTCCCCCCGAGGGGGTGAGGCTGGGTCCCAGCACTTGGGTTTCCTCTGCTTTTGTTGTTATTGGTTTTTTGCATTTCTCCCTGAGGGATCTGGGGCAGCCATGTCTCGGATCCGGTGGCAAGGGTGTCGCCTGCTGCCTGCTATTTTAAGGGATGAGTTGCTGGGTGGGGCAGGCTGTGCCGTAACCGTGGGCTGCAGTGCGGGAATGTGGCCTGCAGACCCCATGTCCCTGGCCCTGCCTGGCATCCCAGAAAGGTGTGGGCGCTCACTTGTGGTCAGCTGGGAGGACAGTGGGGATGTCAGTTTCTTTGTCGCCCCTGTGAATTTTCTTGGAAGCTGCCCCTGCGCCTCACCCTCGAGGCCTGTCGCAGTCGGCTAGCTCTAAGCCCCTGGCTGAGGGGAGGCTGCAGAACCAGAGGCCAGGGGACGGCCAGGCCCCTGAAGGTACGTTTCTTTTCCTTTCTTCAAAAGACAGCTTCCTGCTGTTGTCTGAGTTCTCCAGGTTCTGAAATCCTCAGGGCCCAGCAGACACCGCACCCTCACACTGCAGAGCAGAGTCAGAAGGTCAAGGAAGTGTGAATCTGACAAGATGGCCCTGGACAAGCAGGAACGAGTTGAGTGGTGCTAATGTTTGGGAAATCTCTGGAATTAAAAGAGAGAGGTGGGTCCCGTGTTTCAGGAAGAGTCAACATTTTTCTCTTGGGACCACCTTTATGGAAGTATAACACACATTATAGAAAGGGGCCCCTGTGCCAGTCACTGTGGTGCAGGCCTGTACTCTCAGCGACTTGGGAGGCTGAGGCAGGAGGATCACAAGTTCAAGGCCAGCCTCAGCAAATTATCAAGACCCAGTCTCTAAACAGTCTCTAAATAAAAAATAAAAAGGGCTGGGGATGTGGCTCAGTGGTTAAGCATCTCTGGGTTACACACACCCACACCCACACCCACACACACACGAGAAAAAAGAACAAGGCACCTGAGTGTGGAGCACTAGCTGCCCACACGTGGAACACATTTGTGCAGCCCAACCAATGCTGCCGGCACCCAGAGCCCCCTGGGGCCCCTTCCTGACAGTGCTCCCTGCAGGCTGGGTGTCCTCCTGTGCTGGCCTGGAGGCTGGAGGGCACATGCACCCAGCACGTTGGCTTTGTCACTGGACCTGGATCTGCAGGACTGTCCCTGCTGCCCCGGGGGGCTGCAGTGGCCATGTTGTATGCACTCTCCGCACCCCATCTGCCCAGGGACAGTGGATTGGATGGGAAGCTAATGTTGCAGACAAGCAGTTAGACACCACTCTCGAAGGCCAAGTACAGACACCAGCCTCTTTCCCCTCCAGGGCCTGACCCAGGGACCAGGGAAGGCTGGAAGGGATGCCATGTGACCGAGCCATAGCAGTAGAAGGTCCTAAAACAGAGACGGGCAGGGCCTGGCAGGAGGGGATCCTGCGGGCGGCGCCTTGCTCTGTGTGCAGCTTAGCGGTTGGCCCGAGCCTGGCTGCTTCCTTCCTGGCCACAGCCTCCTCTTCGGGAAGACCCACGATAATGGCTCCTGCCTGCTGGCTGTGTGTGCTCGCCCAGCGCCAGCAAGCGTGGCTGTTGTGGTCAGTGGGCGCGGCAGGGAGGACTGTGTGCTGTTTCTCAGGTGAGCAGTGGCACCCAAGGGTCTCAACAGCGAGTGGCTTAGGGACTGCCCTTAAAGGTCACAGAACAAGTCGTGGAAGGGTGAGGTGCTAGGATGCACCAGTTTTCCCGGAGTCTCCGAGGACTCTCCCCAGTCATCCAGGAGGGTGAGGTCACGTGAGAACGTCTGTGTGGAAGAGGCCACCAATGACCTGAGGTGGCTGTTCCAGTTTCCTGGTGTTGAATGGCAAAAGGACGCCTGGGGAGAGGGAAGCCAGGACATGGAGCCCGCCAGGAATCCCAGCCCAGTCCCTCCAGCTCCAGGGGCCCTGGCCTGGCGCAGGCCCCTGGTGTGTCCACTGTCAAGTGAGTGGAGTCCTTGACTGCCCACTTCCACAGGCCCCCTCCCAGAGCAAGGGCCGCTGCAGCCCGGGACAGGTGGCTTTGTTTGTGGCTCTTCCTGCACAAGATCACCAGTAGAAAGGTCACTGCAGATTTTCACAAGAGCAAGGCTCCTGGGTCAGCCACCTTTCCACCTTCCTAGGGTGTGGACTTCATGTCCACCCAAGTAAGAGGTGTCCGGAAGGCCGCTCACAGGGTCGGATCCGGCGGACAGAAACGTGGGGTTGGCTCTGAACTGTTTTAGAGTGTTTTTCTGCTGGGACAACTGGATAACCATCTGGAAAAAATAAAGTGAGCTCCACACCTTACTCAGCACGGCTGGCACAGTTCCAGAATCCCAAATGGATCCAGGAGCTGAATGTATAAAAGGCATCTAATTAGGAAGCAGGCAGATACACTGGAGAGGGGACAAAACCCAGAAGCCATAAAGGAGAAAATCTTAATTATACATATAAAATCAAAACTTTTGCCTAGCAACACAAAAAGAAAACAACCAAATAAATCCACACAGAAAACAACAAAAATACCCAGTAAATTTAAGACAAATGACAAATTGGGAAAAATGTTTGCAACTCAGTTGTAAAGGAATAATCTCCCTAATATGTAAATAGCACTTAGAGATAAATAAGAAAAAATGGGCAAAGGGTATGAACAGGCATTTCATAGAAAAGAAAATGCAGGTGTTTAAACATGAAAAGACACTCAACCTCAATGTATTCCAGTAAGTAGGAGAGAATATTGGAACTACTCTGAGGGGGTGTGGGTGCAGCTCAGAGGTACAGTGCTTGCCTAGCCCGTGCAAGGCCCCCCATGGGTTTGTTTCCCAGTCCTGCCAAAAAGGAAAAAAAATAATTATTTCTGGAAATTTCTTCACATATCAGGTTGCATTAGGATCTTTAATGACACTGCTGGTAAACTTTTAGACAAACATGCTTTCTTAGGCCTCAATGCTGGGACACCATTCTCCTATCAAAATAAGATGTGTACTCAGACCCAGTACCTGCAGCTGTCAGAACCCAGCTTCTGCTGAGAAAGACACGATAAAGCATGACTATGGCCCCTGCATTGAAATAGCACACGACTGGGCAGAACTCGAGCATTCCTCAGGCGTTGGCTTTGCATGTCCCCACTGTGGAACAGGAGCAGGTTGTAAAGACGGATCGATCGGGAGTTCTTGTGAGTCGGCATGGAGACGTCGACAAGATATGAGAGCCAAATGCAGAGAAATGTCCATAATATGCTACCATCTGTGCAAAAATGAGAGGCATGAAAATTCTCAGGATAAATAAAAACTGGAGAACAGGACATGTGGGGCGAGAGTGTCCTTTCCACTGTACTTCTTTTCCTTTTTGGTGTTTACCTATTGAGAAAATCCCCTTAAGACCCACTGCCAGCCGCTGGAAATCAGGACAGCCGTGGAAACAAGCGGCTCCTCCTCTTCTGACACTGGGGCGTCTGGCAGCCCTGGGCTCATGTGGCAGCAAGGAGCTGGAGCCTCTGAGGGGCTGAGACCCTGAGAGCCAGAGACCCCGGGCTTGGGGACTTCCAAGGATATGGGTGGTGAGGAGATGCCTGCGGGTGGCATGTCCATGGTGGGGGATGGCAGCTGCACTGCAGCTCCAGCCATTGGCAGTCTAGGCCACCTCTGTGCCCAGCTCCCAAATCCCCAGGGATAGGTGGGTCCCATCATAGAGGTGCCTGCTGTCAAGGCTCTTGCTCTGGGGGATGGGAACCAAACCAGACCTACAAGAGGGCTCCACAGCAACAGCCCTCAAGACCCAGAGGCAAACCACACAGCCGCAGAGGCAGCAACCCATAAAAGGACCACACACCTGACCAGGCAGGTTACTCCCAGGAATGCAAGGTTGGCTGGTTTAACGTTTGAAAAATTAGTATAGCAGACAATAAAGGACAGAGCACTTGATCATCTCAGTGGATGAGCATAAAAGCTGACCAAGATCCCGTCTCTAGTCCTGAGAAAGCTCTCCTGCTTGGGGTGAAACGGGCTCAGGGAAAGGGGTTACGTCTGGGCAGACACCTTTCCCCATTCTGTTACAGGGTTCCGCAGGCCCCTGGACATGTTTCGTGGGCCTACGCAGCTCCAGACCTCTCCCCACCCATCTGCAGCAGCAGCCCTTGGCCTGGTCAGGCACGCAGGCATCCTGGGCTGGGGGACCTCAGGGAGTTCTGATTGCAGGCAGCTGTCACAGAACCTCCCTGGGAAAGCACTGAGAGTCGGACGGGCAATTGTCAACTGATGGGTGGAGGCAGTGGGTCTGTGGGTCTCCTAGGTTTGCTGGGACTTCTGGTGCAGGGTGAGTCTGGTGGCTTCCTGTGGGGCAGGAGTTAGGGAAAACGTAGGGGATATGTATTTGTCAGGATGAACACTTGGTTCCTCTGAAGAACCGAACCAGCAAAGCCTGTCTCACCTTGCCCACCGGGAGGATCTTGCCAATTCTTCTAGAAGACTCTCTGCTATGGATTTTACAGGAAGTCATCTTCCTGGAGCCAGGTCAGGGGCCCAAGAGCAGAGGTGGAAGAGTGGCCCAGGAACATGGTGGTGTCCCCAGGAGCCCACGGCTGCTGTAGCAGTGACCTCCAGGGGCAGGAGTTCTTGGGGTAGGCCAGAGCATCCAGGACACGTTGGGATGCTACTTTGCACAGCCAACAATGTGTTCTACACAGAAGCACCAGGGCCGGTGCCGTCACGTGGCCCTGTGCTTTAGAATCAGCTGGGCAGCGCCCCAGACCAATTATGTCAGACCTCTGGAGGGAGGTGACTTCAAGCTGCAGCTGGGGCTGGGTCCATTTTCAGGGATACCAGTGGAGAGGTTCCCCAGGACCAGCCCCCTTCCCCTCTGGTTCACCTGGGACACAGGTTCCCTTTAAGAAGTGTCCTGTCCTCTCCATCCCTCCCATGCCTTCTTGGGTGCAGCAGGAAGTTGGATTTGAACTGGTTTCTGGTTTGGGTTGAGGGGATCCATCTCAGCTGCTGGGTGTCAGAGCAGCCTTGTGCCTGGCCAAGGAGCTGGTGAAGCCAGCAGATAACCTCTGCTAAAGAAAGCAGATGTCCCTGGAAAAGCACCTGGCGCCTGAGCCCAGGCTGGGTTAGGAACTGTCCCTCAACCCTCAGGCCAGTGCCCCCAGCATGTGAGAGGTGACAAGAGTCACACCAAGACCAAGCTGCTGATTCTCACGTGGTGCTGTGCCCAGGATCCAGCTCTGAGTTTCCCTCAACAAACAGCAAGTCTCAGCCGAGACTGTCCTTAGTTTTATCTTCATTAATGGCAAACTGTGCTGGCTCTCCTCTTCTGTAGTGAGTTTCCATCATTTAAAAAGCGGGGATGAAGCCCACCAGGAACACAGAGCAGCTGCTGAACTGATGTGGCAGAAATGACAATGCTGGCTGTGGCCTTGGGGATCCTGGTCCCTGACGGCACCAGGTGGCACCTTCCCCAAGCCTTCAGGTCAGCACCTGAGCCCTGAGGGGTTAATTCCTCTGCAGGGTCGCCGTCTTCTGTGAGGGCTGGGGCAAGGCAGGCTGTTCCAGGGCCCAGCGAGTCCCAGGCATGGCTGCTGCGCGGTTCTGCAGACGTGTTCAGTACACATGGGTTCTGGTGGGTCTAGGCAGGCGGTGGTCCAGCCCTTGCTCAGAGGCCCTCCCCAGCACAGGTGCTCTCCTCCTGGAGATGCCAACACAGCTTCGCCTGCCACAGAGCGTCGCCAGGCAGGTCCGCAGCTGTCCTCTTCTTGCTCCCAGACGCTGCCTGGCGCACACAGCGGTCCCAGCCTGCACACTGGGAAAGCCGTTTGTTTCCAGCTGCTTTATCAGTCTCCTTTAAAAAGGCTCCAGTCTGGCGTCAGGAGGTCCATTTCACTTCCCTTACAGTAACAAGACTAAAGGTACAGCAAGGCTTTTATTGCAAAAAACCAGTCGAGGTTTACATGGCCTTAGGCCTTAAGGCCAGATGGTGGCCTGGAGTGGGGAAGGACAGGAACATTGTATTCTGAACACAACACAAACACACAAGGAAACTACAACAGTGGGGAATTCTGCCCGATTCCATTCAGCGCCTGTTTTGGCATGGACCTTCCTGCTGGGTCCTCGTCTTGGACAGGGCATTTGAAAGCAGGACTTGAGGATTTTCAGGTGGTAATTTTGACTACATGCAACTTTCATCTCAGACACTGACTTCTGAGCACAAGCCCACCTAAGTCGTGGGATTTCAAGCACATTCAAGTCCCACTGGGTGCTCAGTATTCAGGCTGGAGCAGGCTGATGGTGCAGTAGCAGCCTGCAGACAATCACCACAGAGCGGCTGTCCTGTGCCACAGGTTTGGATTTGATTTTGAGCCAACCTCCCAGCAGACTGCTTGATGCACCCAGGGTATCTGCTGCAATGGTCGTTTCTCTGGTCTCTCCTGGCGACCAGTTGGTGATTGTCATGTTGGAAATATCACCTCAGGATAATGAGAGCAGACTGTTCCTTCCTGTGGTCTTTTTTGAGATTTGTCCGGGTGAGATGTCCATGTCAACATTTAGGTGAGCCAATCTTGCAACCAACCCTTACCATCTTGGTGAGCCGCAGGGTGGTTAAGAAACGTGGGGCACAGCAGGTAGAAAACCCAGTGCCTCACTTGCTTTATAAAGCTGACACAGTGCGTTCTATTTAACTTCATTAGGTACAGATTCTCCATCATACAGGCTAAGAGGCACAGTCACATGGAAATGACCTTGGGCCCTATCTTGAGGGGTCAGAGCTGGCAGTTTGAGATATAAGTATAGGAAGACTTCTCAGCACCGCAGCCACCACTTGGCCAGCAGCAGTGGGTGACAACTAGTCAAGTGTTTTAGATGAGGGATTTCAGTCTTTAACAGAGGGGTTTTGAAAAGCAGACCTTTATTTGGTCCATTTCTGAAATGGGCACCTTAGTAAATGGGCAGGCATTTGGATCACATAGATACAACCACAGGCAGTAAGAAGGACAAGTCCATTTCTACTCAGATCTTAAGAGGGGACCCAAAGATGTTGGATATACTCCTCCCCATACTGGCCCAATGACAAAGAACCAAAGATGTGATTTTAAATAAACTGGTTTGTGCTGAAGAGGGAGGGAAACCTTAGTCCTGAGTCTGACTCTGGGACTCATTGCTACAAGAAAATTTGAAGTGCAAAAAAGCAAAGCTCTCTGGGATGAGTAATTAGGTTTCTTTATTAGAAATCTGCAGAATTGTTCTGCCTACAGTTCTAGGTATTCTAATTGCAAGATGGTTTTAAAGTTAAATGATCACCAGATTATTCCAAAAGCAAACAGCCGCAACAACATTCTTTTAAATGGCTTTTATTGAGACAACTTTTGGGGCTTCTGCAACAATTCCAGTTGGGAGTCTGTTTATTTTCAACTTTTTAAGTGGCTGAAACCATTCTCTCAATGGCAGAAGCCCCTTCCACCACCAAAGCAAAGAGGCAGCCTCATCTGCTCAATGTCCAAACAGCAGAGACCCTGGGCCACTCACACCCATGCTACTGAGCAAGTGTCTAGTTGTGCATGCAGGACACCCACCCAGGCTCAGTTCTTCCCACGTTTAAATCAGGCAGAGTTAATTCCCACAAACATGAGATGGCTTCAATTCAGCTGCTATTTCTGACTTGGTAATCTAAAGCACCTTAAATTTGGGGCTACCCTGCCCTCAATGTTGGCTGCACACAATTTTGTAACATAGGCGGTAAAACAGATCTAGGAATTCCATGCTGGCCCCACAAACCCTACATGCTTTAGTTCACTCTTAAACTTCTGCCTGCATTGTTTTTGAGAAGCATTAATAATCTTTTAGGGAGCATCTCAGGCAACAAGAATACTTCTTGGGAGAGTGTTAGAAAGTTATGGAAGTCATACTTTAGACCTCTTTAAGTCAATGTCCCCAGGGGTGACTGACTTGCCATGATATGGACTAGAGCATCCCATCGTTTTTGCAAGGATGGAAATGCTGAACTAGTCCTGCTCTTAGCCCAAGTTGCTCTGGAGAATCTGCAAAGCAAATATACCAGCTCTCTGCACCTCAAGGCCCTGAATGTGGCTCTCCAAAGCCTATTAAGATTCAAAGGCCTGTTTAGCACAACTGTTTCCATGATGAGGTGAAAAGTAACACTTCATTCGTTTAGAAGAAAAAACTAATTGGGCATTAAGATTCTGCTTGCAGATTAACGCCAATTTTTGCTTACATCCTTTTGTGACATTCATATATAAGTGTGTGTGTGTGTGTGTGTGTGTGTGTGTGTGTGTGAGCACAGGCTTTGTCCCTT